GGATAAGCAGGCCAGCAGTGGGGGGAAGTTGGGAGCGAACAGGCCAGCAGAGGGGGGCAGTTGGAGGCAAGAAGGCCGGCAGGCAGAGTGGTTAGGGGCAATCAGGCAGGCACGTAGGTGAGCGATTAGAAGACAGTAGTCCCGGATTGTGAGAGGCATGTCCGACTGCTGGTTTAGGCCCAATCCCACAGGGTCATGAGGGATCCCACAGGGATTGGGCCTAAACTGGCAGTCAGACATCCCCCAAGGGGTCCCAGATTGGAGAGGGTGCAGGCCGGGTGAGGGACACCACTCCCGGTGCATGAATTTCATGAACCAGGCCACTAGTACACCTATGAAAAAGAATGCAGGCAGAGCACAGAGGATTTTTAGTGCAGTAAAAATATTCTGTATGATATTATAATGATGGATATACAAGGTGGGGGGAAAACAGGTTCACATTTATGAGTACACAAAACAGTTCATTCTTGTATTATTATTTGTTAACTATTGTTTCTCAAAGAAACAACTGTAAACCTACTTTTGCCCCACCCTGTATGTCAGTATACATTCATCCAAACCCATTCCCACCACACCAAAAGTGAATCCTAAGGTAAACTACGGAATTTGGGTGATAATGATGAGTCAATGTAGGTTCATCCTTGGTTAAAAATGTACCCCTCTTGCCGAAACCGGTTTGGCTCAGTGGATAGAGCGTCGGCCTGCAGACTGAGGGGTCCCAGGTTCGATTCCAGTCAAGGGCATGTACCTGGGTTGCGGGTCCCCAGTGGATGTGCAGGAGGCAGCTGATCGATGTTTCTCTCTCATCAATGTTTCTAACTCTCTATCCCTCTCCCTTCCTCTCTGTAAAAAATCAATAAAATATATTTTAAAAAATGTACCCCTCTGGTTAGTGATGCTGACAGTGGGAGAGGCTATGCATGTGGGAGGGCAGCAGGTATATGGGAGATCTCTATACCTTCCTCTGGATGTTGAAATAAACCTAGAACTGCTCTAAAAAAAAGTCTTTTTTAAAAAAAAGAATAAATGATTGACCTGTCCTGCAACACAGATGAACCTTGAAAACATTATGATATCTAAAAGAAATCATTCAAAAAAAAAAAGAACACATATTGTGCCCAGATGGTGTGGCTCTGTGGTTGAGTGTCGACCCATGAACCAAGAGGTCATGGCTTGATTCCCACTTAAGGCACTGCCTAGGTTGCGGGTTTGATCCCCAGTTGGGGGTGTGCAGGAGGCAGCCAGTCAACAATTCTCTCTCATTACTGATGTTTCTATCTCTCTCTCCCTCTCCCTTCTTCTCTCTGAAATCAATGAAAATATCTTTTTTAAAAATCACACGTTGTATGTTTCCATTTATAGCAAATGTCCACAATAAGCAAATCCTTAGAGTCAGAGAGTAAATTATCAGTTTTTAGGTGATGGGCGGTAGAGAGAACGAAGGGTGACTGCTACGAGGTATGGGCTATCATTTTGAAGAGATGGAAATATTCTGGAATGAGACCGTGGCAATGGCTGCATAACAATGAATGTACTAAAAAGCATTGAACTGGACACTCTAAAATGCTAATATTTACGTATATGAATTGTGTTTCAAAAAAACCTTCAAAATTAGGCAATAATGAACATTTTCCAAACTCACTGTTGGTGTGGGTCGTGAACTCAGGAACTGAGCTAGGTGGGTCTGGTTCAGGAGGTCACATGAGGCTTCAGTTGAGATGTCACTGGGGCTGCGGTCATCACAACTGACTGGAGCTGCAAGCTCTGGTTCCAAAGAGGTGCGGTCACAAGGCTGGTGAGTTGGTGCTGGCATTTCCTGGGAGGTCTCAGTTTCTTCCCACCGGGGCTTTTCCAGGAGCTGCTTGAGCGTCCTTATCACTTGGTAGATGACTTCTACAATGAGAGACAAATGTTGCTACCTCAAGCAAATGACAAAAAAGTTTCAGAAAGCTGTGTCTCCTTGTAGGTTGAGGAACTAGCATCTGACTCACACAAGTAAAGTCTAGAGACCGGAGTTGGAACTGCCTGTGGCAGAAGGGACAATAAAATGATAGCCTTAGATGTAAACTGAACTGCCAGGAAATGCAGAAAAATATGTGTTTCCGGTGAATAGATAAGGACCCCACAAAAAACAGTACGCTGAGATTGTCATAGAAGGAGAAAGGGCCAAGCAGGCCACCCAGGGAAGCAGATGAACCCAAATACAGGGGTGGGTCACTAAAGGCCTGGTGACTGGGAGGTGGGGGAGTATAATGACCACTCAGGGGGACTAAAAACATAGGTTCACATAAAACCTTGTACAAAACTGAATCAGGAAGAATCACAAAACCTGAATAGGCTGAAAACACCTGATGAAACTGAAGCAGTAATCAAAAAACTCCAAGCAGACAAAAGCCCTGACCCGGATGGCTTCACAGGGGAGTTTTACCAAACATTCAAAAGGAACTAACACCTATC